GGCGCAGGCGGGGGGTGACCCCGCCCGGCTCGCCAGCTGCGGGTTTCCTTGCGTCGGCCCCTGCCCCTGCGCTGGCGAGTCCCTGGGCTGCAGCGCAAGCGCCAGAACAGTGAAACCAAATCACATCTGCACCGCCAGAGCCGCGTCGGGGACGACCCCCCTCACCCCGAAAGGGAAGGACCTGCCAGCGCAGCCTCCGCGGCTGCAGGCTCCCTGCCTCGACACCACCACTTCTCTTTCCCAAAATAGATGGTCTTAGAAATAGCCAGGCTGTTTCACAGCACTGGCATTTAGGAGCTCTGCTGCAGCGCTGCGCCTCCATCCACCCCTGATCTACACCAGTGCCTCCAGTGTCGCTGCTGGCCCTCGGTGCTGCCTTCAGGTCTCCCCTCCCAGCAGCAGGCTCATGTGCACATCCATGTTTTTTCCCCTCTGGCTGAATCAGTAGGATTCCCCGCTTGAGGGAGCCGAACCGTGTCGGAGCCATTAGCTGGAGGAAATAGTGTAGGGGGAAACGGCAAGCTCCAACCATCCTGCAGGGTCTGAGCGGCAGAAAAGCACCACCCCGGCAGCACGCCCTGGCCTCGTCCTCACAGCTTGCAGGGAAAAGCAAAAGCAAGCCATGTCTGATGGTCACACCACTTGCAGCATGTGAAGCAAATACAGTCCCTTAAAAATCACATCGCTGCCGAGCTGCTGCCACCCCCTGGAAAGGCTCCGGATGTGCTCCCTGCTGAAGGAGCTGCCGCAGAAGCCAGTGCCTGTTTCTCCACAGTGACCACAGGTGTTTTGGCCCAGAAAAGCGTCCTTGGGGGCCTTCCTCCCCCTTGCACTGTCCTTCACGCCAGCAAAAAGCGGGCCTTAAATGCCACTACGGTTCAGAGGGATGCCAAAGTCCTGATGCACAGAGCTATGGAGGTACCAAATCCCTCCAAAATCTGTGCTGCCGAGTCAGCCCGTCCCAGGCAAATCCGCTTGGATTTGGCTTGGTGGAAACGCTATGGCCCAACCTGGAGCCAGTCCGAAATGTCCTCGGGGCTGCCCCTTTGCACAGCCGAGAGCAAGGTGAGCGTGGCAGCGTCGCTACCCACGGGGAGAGGCAAGCCTCAGCGCGACTCGCGTTAGCCTTTGACGAGCTCATGCCACGGAGATGTTAGTCATGCTGCCTAGTGCAGAGCCGGGAAGGGCTACTCACCATGGGGATGAGCGTGGTATAAGGACGCCGGGAAACCAGAATGAGACTTGATTGCGCTTGTAGCTCAAATCAAAGCTCGCTCTCTTTGACTTCAGCTGAATTCTTCAAAATAATAAAACCCCCCCCCCAAAGCTGCTGAACTGAGCTGAGGGACCAACGCCAACTCTCGCTTGGTTGCCTTATTAGTTTTCTAGAGACTCACCGTATCATCGGGGGGAAGAGGCTGCCTGCACGCCACGCCGCCGACAGCTCGCGCCTGGTGCGTCGAAGCTGACAAACTTGTGCTTTCACTGAAACGTTTCGCAAAGCGTTTCCTCGCAAATGGGTTCTGGGGTCTAAATAAAAGCACAGATGCTGCTTATGCTGTTCTCTCGCATCTCCGTGCACTATATTTTTAAAAAATGATTTGAATCAAAGCTCTCATTCTTTAATTAAACTTCATTTAGATGCCATCTGCCTGGGATCAAAATGGCTTCATGTTTTGCAACTCTTAATGAGGATTGTTATTGGATTTGTAAACACATAAACAACAACCTCCCCCCCCAAAAAAAACTCTTTGAAAAGTAATAAATGAGAAACGTGGCTCAAGTGTTAAGAGCTGCTTCTTCAGTCTTCTAATTGTCATGGAACAGACTCCATTCAGCGGATAATCACGTTATATACAAAAACTGGGTATAAAAATACCCTGCAACTGAAGGATCAAGATTAGGGAAAGTGCTAGAATTGCAGCTGAGTGAAAACAGTAATAAAGCAATAATTGTCATTTTTCCATCAGCAGGAAGAGGCCGAATTCCTGTCGCACATACCTTCATCTCCCACCGCTACACGGGCCACAACGGTGGCAATCTTCTATCCTGGCCGCGGGAAAGTTGACAGCAGTAGCCTCGTCACTCCCAGAAGCGACAGAGACAATTACTGCTGTCCACTTCAGAAGATAAAACTCTTATCAGAGAGGAGAAAAGGAGAAGGAAGAAGGGAGTTTGGTGGAGGTGAGCAGGGGCGCAGGGTGGGGGCACCCACCGGATGTGCTGCCTCGCTAGCGGGGACAGAGCAAGGGCAGAGCAGGGGAACGGCCACATGCTCGGCCCCTTCTTAACTTCTGTTTTTTTTCCCCCCCACCTTTTACAGCCTTTATGATTCCACCAGGCTTTCTGAACTCAATCATTAGTCCCTAGCGTAGCTCTGATGCCCTAATTTAACTCGGCTGCCTGACTTCACCCTTGCCTTTCAGCGCAAGTAATTAGGGCCCCACGTACTACGCAGTGCATTAGATCTGTATCCTGCAAGAAGCTTCACCCCCACCGCGCGTTCAAGGGAGCGCTGAAACCTGGAGCAGACCCAGGGCAGCGTCAAAGATCTTCACTCATTACCAAGCCACTCCACTACCTTCAGTGTTACCGTATCAGATCTTTTTTTTCTTTCTTTCTTTTCTGAGGGAAAAAAAAAGTCGAAATATAATGAATGTGCCCTAATAGGAGACACCTATGTGTGGTTTGATCTGTGAATAAGCCCATTTCAGACATTTCAGAAAGGAAAATTGTATTTTTACCTCTGAATCATGTTTCTTTGTTGCTTAATTGGAGATGCCATGGGTTTGAGCATCAGGCAGAAAGAGAAAAGACTTCCAATTTTGATGCCAAATGTTCAGATGTCAAACTGTATTTCTAATTGGGGTCACTCATACAGATTTTTGTTCTTCCTCTGGCTGCCAGCTTTGTGCCTTCTCTTACGTTTATCTGGGCTTTCATTATCTCATGTGATCATTTGCATCTAACTCAACAGCAAATGGAAGTCAGGAACACAGAAATAAAATTGCAGCTACTTTGAAAGGTTCTGCCCATGATCAAAATCCTCTGGTGGATGAAAAGACAAGGACTCATGCAGACGGAAAACCCATAAAACAAACAAAGTGCATTACACCGGGAAAAGCTGCCACAGGTGACTTTGATCCCTGCGTCTGCTACCATCGCCTTCCTCCTCGAGTACATGCAGAAGCCCTAATGACTGAGGCAGCTGCTGTTCAGGGCGGCAGATTTGCTCAGTGGAAAACGCTGCAATTTGTCCTGAAGCCTGTAAGGACGTCTGGTGAGCAGTGCTCAAGTTGACCAATGGTTATCCAAAAGTAACTCAGTGGTTTGCCATTTGTGCAGGCCAGAAGCAAGCCAGAAGCATCTTGCTTTACTGGTTGGTATGAGATTTAGGAGGGAAGGTGTCTGCTGGGTGTGCTACCCTTCCTCATCTTCCTCACCACAACTGATTCTCAGGCTAAGAAACAATCCACAACTGCCGTTTCGGAGAGGGCCAAGTTGGTCATATTGTGCTTGCTCAGAGTGTAGGAGCCATTTCTTTCAGTGCCACATTCAGCGTTTCCTTCTGCAAGCCGTTACATTCGTTCACGTTCTTCTTCTGCCACCCTCATGCCCGAAGCACCTGAGCATTAGCTACCACACCATCGTACCTGTGCTCAGATCTCCTCATATATAAAATACAAGTTAAAGATGCGCAGGGGTAAGTAACAGCGGTTGGCCACATTAGCTTCTGCTGCCCACATCTACTAGTGAAATTAAAGCAGAATTGCAGAAATTTGAAATCAATTTACAAATTAAAATAACTTACAATGATTTATTTTCCTCTGTTTACTGAATTGCTTCATTTTGCTCTTTCGGAGCGAACTGGACCCGGGCACACAGAGGAGACGCCAGAACTGCAGGAAGCACTTTGCCACAGGTCTTTCAGTAACGGTAGCGACTTTTGGGCCTGCATTACTGAACTAGTCCAGCATCAAAGCGGACAAACTGTGTTTACTCTGTGAGTTCTCCTCAGTCCTTGAGGCATCAAAATCTTTTGGAAAATCACAGATGGTGAAGAAGGTCATGAAATGAAAATCTTGTAGTGCTTCGGAGGATGGTTAAGTGCACGTAACAGAAATTGCTTCTGAGTTTCTGAGTTGGTGGGCACTAGACGCGACACAAAACAGGGCGTCTGTGGAATATCTCTCCTTGGGGAGGACAATGCGGCCTTAAACCTTCTTTCTGCTTAAAATCTTTCTGCTAAAATCACTTCTGCGATACTCACGGGCCCAGGTCTTTGATGCTTGTGAGCATTCGTTCCCTCGTCTTTCACAGTGGTGCAATTTCGCACCAATCCTCCTGCACTTCTGTAAGCAAATTTTTAAACTGTTGATTCAAGTCTGAAGACATCAGTAGCAAAGGAAGCATTAAAGCATGTCAAACCTCTGGGTTCCAAACACTGATGACACTGACGATTTTATTGAGCAGCCAAAGCATGGCAAGAAGGTTTGTAGCTGTCCATCCGGCGATGCCCTCCTGTACTTACTCTTACCTACAAACGCAGTTTGCAATTCAATAATATGTGTAATAAAATAAGTACTTTTAAGAGCAAGGCAACACTTTTTATTTTTATTTAAAAAGGCCTTGATGGCAGGAATATAGTGTAAAAATCATTGGAAAAACTAAAAGGCATTGATACATATTGGAATATACACTTTTTACATAAATTACATTTATTTATTTATTCTTTCATTTGAGGTTCTTATTCGGTATTGAGGTCTAATAGTTAATAGGTCCTGGGATCTGGACGTTTAGACCACCATAGTCTAACATGTACATGGGCCATTGCTGAAAGAGAGGGAGAGAAAAGAAGGCAAAAGTCTCTGTTAGGACACAACACAAAAACATGCATACATCAAATCTCTGACACGTTCAGACATGGGCTGTTGCTCCCACTTTCCAAATAAGATTAAAGAACCAACCCAAAATCAAAACACCACCAGGAAACCCCGACAAAAACCTTTAAGTTGATATCTCTCTCTCTCTCCTTTTTTTTTTGTTAAGCGTTTGGTATCATACACAACTGAAGCCAAACCCTGAGGGAGAACAGGTTGCACGTCCACTGATTCCACTCACTGTTTTTTACAGCGGTGATTCGCTACCTGACGCAAGGTTTAGCTTTGCATCTCTCCCAGAACAACTCGAGCACGAGCGATGCCGCGGGCCGGGCCGGGGCTGCCCGGGGGCCCCTGCTCGGCAGACACCGCTCTACTGACAACCCTCTAGAAACCCAGAAAGAAAAGGCAGCTCCAAAGCTGCGCCCCTTCCTTTGCCAAACCTGGTCGGGCCATTTGACATCGCACTTTACAGTGTTTGTCAGGTCAAGTGAAGGGAAGTGGTGCTGGTTCGTAGATAGCAGAGAGCAGCATCCTGAAGCAGAAAGATAGGTAGGCAGTAACCCACTTAATATTTGGAAGGCTTTACCACAAGTGAGATCTGATTTGTTGATGATGTAGACTCCATATTGGAAGAGGAGGAGGAGGAAGAGGAGGAAGAGGAAGACACAGAGTTCCCTTCGGAGATCCTCTTCCGCTTTCGCTTGGGAACGCTGCTGTCTTTTTCTGAAAGGAAAGAGGAGAGAAATGGGACATCCGAATCCCGAGAACGTGTTGCAGATGGGTGGGCTGTTTCCACGGCCCGCTAAGGGAACGCACTCAAATGTCTGCAAAGCCTGGCCGTTAGGCACCTCGCCTCCTCCCCCTTGTACCATCTTAATTATCAGTAGGGGATGCCAATTCTGACACATTTGGTTAAAACGGGCTGACATTTATTGGGGAGGATGGGACAGACAGAGAAACGCTCACAGAGAGAGCACGGAAACCTTGTTTCCTCAGAAGCTCCACTGATAAATGAAGAGTCAAATTAAGGGGTTTATCCAGTGAATAGAACTGCTAATGGGACAAGGCCAATCAGATCCTCCAGAGTACGGTGAAAATTTTAGTCTAACAGTACATGCCTCTCCTCAACTCACAGAAATATAATAATCTAAGAGGATGATTCGTGCCTGAACAGATGCTGAGTCAGCAAGTTTGTTTGTTTGTTTGTTTTTCCCCCCGGGTAGGATCTTTCTCCTAGCCTTGGCTGGCGACGCTGGAGAGACAAATACCTCCCTGCGGCACTGTCTGCCACCCCACACGTTTCGTGGCACAGCCCCTATATTCTGCCTGCCCACCACAGTGGAGATACCAGTACTTTTTTAGCATCCCGCTTACCTGTTTGTTTGGCCTCAGTGCAAATTTCAGCAAACGGTCTGCAAGAAGAACGAAGGGAGGATTAGAGCGTGCACGGGGCCAGGCAGACGCCCGTGTTTCTCCCAGCCACATCTCCGCGGGAGGTTTCAGCTCTCCAAGCGTGGGGAGGCAGTCCAGACGCTGGATTTGAGTTTGGATGCGGGGCTGCTTCTCTGCGTGGGATGGGAAATGGGAGGTTCCCTGCTGCTCGGGGCAACCTGCGGTAACTCTGCGGATCTCTGAGCCATCCCCTGGCCCTTGTCAGGGACAGGAATCACACGTTCTGCTTGCCTCTGGCCAGTGGCCATGCAAAAAGTCATGGTCAGGGTGTCCACTTCAGACTTTGAGGATGTCAGGCTCTCTGCCCTCAGTGGGCAGATACAACTTGCAGTAAGGAATGGGCTCCTCTCAACCAGGCAAGCCGTCGCGCAGCCTCCCCAGCTGAGCTGTTCTGAGCCCGTTTCTGCTGTTCCTCGCTCCTGCTCAGGCCAGCCTGCGGGTCCTGTAGCAACCCCAGGTCAGCATGGGCAAAAAGACTCCTTCACTCAGACACCCGGACTACCTCAACGAATCTACTAAATGCCTCAGCATTACGTCCATACGGGTCCATCTTCTCTGAATCAAAACACAGCCATCACATTCGCAATGGCAGTACAGCCCTGTCCAAGCTCCAAGCTCCTTAGCAACAAGGCTCATCTCGAACTGTGGGAAGAAACTCACTGGGCCCCGCATCCCAATGGGATAAATCGGGTTCGCAGTGGCTTACCGGACTAGCAGCTGGAGAAACGAGGGTAACATTTAACAAATCAGAAAAATTCCTGAGTCCCAAACAGAGAAACTTACTGGAGCTGGTTTATAATCACCATCCGGATGTTCTCGCGTGCCTTCAGAATCTTCTCCAGCCGATGGATGTCATAGGTATTGGGGTTTCTAAATGGGATATCGTCTGGCAGGCCAGTAACCTCCACGGCATCAGGACTGTCCCGGATGAGTTTATAGGGCACCATGACAGGCCGGTTCAACCCCAAAGCTTCTCCTGTAAGGGCAGAGCAGAGGACAACGAACCAGTGACCATGGGCTGACCAGACGGCCTTCCCTGAAGCTTTATCACACTCTTCTCAACACCAGGTATCTTGCTCCTTGACCTTTCCTTGAAATTTAAATAGCAAAGCGCTTGCTAGAGAGCACAGATGTATCACACAGAACAAGACTCACCATAAGAGGCTGGAAAGTCTTCCCACGTTTCAGCTGTTTCCACAGATATTCAGCCTTCCCACAATGAATCCCCTCCCAACACCCGCTGCAGGGCTTGCGATCAAGCTGACTGCAGGAGCGAGAGGCCTGGGATGAGGTTAGGAAGCCAGGGCCGCCTTCACCGCACGTTCCCAGCTCAACCAGAGCTTTCCCGTGGTGACTGTGGCCCTGTTGTGCTGCTGAATTGCCATGGCGGACTTTTGCCTGCTCCATTAATCTTTATTTAAAATCTTGCTATGAAGCTCACGTGAAGGCTGTTTTACAGGACCTGTAGTCTAGTATTTATACACTCATCTCCGCTCTGTAAAAGAGCACCAATGCCATGCTTGGGCCAACCCAGCAAGCCCAGCACCCTGCCTTATGGCTGAGGTCAGGGGCTGGAGCTGGGGAAAAAGCATAAGGAATAGGGCAAATGAGAGACACCTGCTTATCTCTTGCTTGTCTCATTTCAGCTTCCAGGCAGCAGCATTTTTAGGGGTCCCCAGGAGGGATCACATCCTGTACACTGCATTCGACAGCCCCGGAGGGCCCTGCGCTGCAGGAATCTGTCTCACCTACCTTTTCATCCCCTTTATCTCTTTGGCCTCCACAGCATCCTGCGGCAACGCAATACCACAATTTAATCACGTGCTGTGTGAAAAGTACTTCCTTCGGCACACCACTGCCTCTTTCTCTGCGTACCCCCACTTTATTTCCTACACGGTGGGAAACAGCAAATTCTCTCCTATGAGGAAAGGCTGAGGGAGCTGGGACTCTTCAGCCTGGAGGAGGGAAGACTGAGAGGGGGAATCTGATCAACGTGTACAAGTAGCTGAAGGGAGGGTGTCGAGAGGATGGGGCCAGACTCTTCTGACTGGTGCCCACCAATAGGAGACAACGGGCACAAACTGAAACACAGGAAGTTCCATGTGAACATGAGGGAAAACTTCTTTCCCGTGAAGGTGACTGAGCACTGGCACAGCTTGCCCACAGAGGTGGTGGAGTCTCCTTCCCTGGAGACATTCAAAAGTTGTCTGGACACGATCCTGGGTAATGTGCTCTAGGTGACCCTGTGTGAACAGGGACGTTGGGACTAGCTGATCTCCAGAGGTCCCTTCCAACCTCAACCATCCTGTGGTTCTGAGACTCCTGCCCTCCTTGTGCTCTCTGGGCCATTCATGATTTTAAAGACCTGTCACCTCCAAGCGTGCACACACCTACCAGTGCCACCAATGTGCCCTGCTGACATTGCTGCCCCTCCACCAGAGGCGCGAGGCTGGACCCCAGCCTTAACCTGGCCCCTTGGCGGAGCAAAGCTTTCCAGTCCCCCTCGTTTCCCATGAACATCCCCAGCCTTTCCTCGGCACCTGCTGTGAAGCAGAAAGAGAAGGGGAGGAGTGGTTAGACCTGCTCTTGAGTCACGTTTTTGCAAGCCCCAAACCTACGCGCTGAGGCTGAGTTGCTTCTCAGCCAGATTTCTGGCTTTCTTTGTGGGGAGTTCATCTCTGATCTCCATCTAGCAGGAGCCCACCTGGCGCTTTGTGCTCGATCAGCCTGTTTGCGCAAGGCACAGCTGCGGGTTCAGGAGCGTTTGGATTAGACTCACAACCCATCTGACAGGTATCGTGACTCTGACGCTTGCCAGTAAAATCTACGTGAAAAAAAGATGCGAAAACCCCACGAGTGGACACTTTAAAGCAACCTGGTACCCTGGGGCTAAGGCAAGGCCACAGGGATCGTTGCGTGGGATCCAGACTTGACCTTAAACGCCCAGCGCGTGTGAGCACAGCCCTTAGTGACTTCGGTGCAGTTACCTCCCCTCCGCACTTCCGCAGCTCGGGCATGACTCAAGTCCTGTGCCTCAGTCTCTTAACACTCAGTAAGCACATTATACAGATAGATTATGAGCAATAAATAGAGAGCGGGACAGTGATTATTTAGCAAACAGCTGTTGATTTTTCAGCTGGAAGGTTTCCAGCAGCAGCCAGATTGTATGTGCGTGCACACGCACGAGGAGCGAGGCTCTCCCACAGCTCTTGCTGGGAGAGCACACCCTTCCCATCACACCCCCTCTTTCTCAGCAGACACAAGCGCTCGAAACAAGAGCCTGCCTGCTCCCCTCCCCAGCCCCCCAGCTCCTTATGCTTCATTTCTTTTCTTATTTGGTTTCCCTCCGCAGCTGTTGCAAACCAACGGGCTGGGTCAGAGCTCTGTTACTCCACGTGCAACCTCAGTCCAAGGTTTGCTCTCCGTTAGGACAACCCCAGGGTTGTGCAAGCCGTTGCAGGGGGCAGCCGGGAAGAGCCTACACAGCCTGGTTACTGGGACAGGTTGGGTGTAACATTAAGCCAGGGCGATGGTGCAAAGGCACATGTCTCCCTGCGCTTTTACAAGCCTACAGTTGTAATAAAAAGTTCTTGTAGGAATAACTGTGCTTATCAGAAGCTAAGAACAGCACAGCCTGAATTGAACATTTTGAAGCCCAACAGCAGAAGGAGATCATTTCCAAGTTAGGAGGGCTAGCTGCAGCAGAAGTCACTAGGCACTTCTTCCCCAAGCGCTTCTAGAACAAAAAGCTAAGCTTGGGTCGGGGCGATGCGGTGTGCAATGCCAGGACCCATACCGAAACGCAGGCTCCTCTGAATGGCAGGGCGATCGCTGCTGAGACAGGCTGGCTTGCTGGGTCCCACCAGGATGAGCCAAGCTCAGGAGAGGGGAGCAGTGGGGGAGAGCAGTGTTTCAGCAGGCTAAAGAGAATAAAATAGCTACTTGAGAAGTGCTGCCAGCTGGTGCACTGGCACCTCGAGGAGGGAAAATCAGCCCCCAAAGCAGCACAGACCCCGCGTGGGCGCTGTCGCTGCGGCACGCAGCGCCCCCGAAATCAAAGGGGCTTCGCCTAGCTCTGACCTGGGCAAGGCAAGCAGCCTTGGAAAGGGGAGACGAGATTCGAGAAGGGAAGGATATGACATTCCCCACCCACATCTCTAGGGCTGTCTTTGCTCTCTTTCAGGCAACTGTTTGGGGGACGCAGGGAGGAGCAGAGGTGACAGGCCGCAGGGCAGCGCGTGGCTCGTGGAGCAGGGCCAGCGGAGCAGCGTGTGCCGGGTCGCAGTGGGCCGCTGCACGGCCGTACAGCCCTGGCCTCGCACGTCACGTTGAGAAATAACTGCTGAGTGGTCATGCAGCTTTTAGCCAGGCCATAAGGAGGGCAGAGCTATGACCAGTTACGGCCCAGGAACTGTACAGCTTCCTGCTCTCCGAAGGGCTGAGACAGCTACGCTGTTCAGGGTTGTACCTACAGCAGCTGCCTCCTGTTTTTGCCCGACTGCTATTCCTGC